ATACATCTATTCCTTTTGCTACTGGAGATGGTCACAGGCAAAGTTGCTTTCAGTGCTATAACCAGCCCCCCAGCAGCATGATGAACTATGGGAAGGGGACTGTTTATCATCCTTTAACAAAGGAAAGCACCAGGAAGGGATGGAGCTGGTGGGGTCGAGGCTTGATCCCTAAAGGATCTGGGCTGGTTTGGGTTTTTCGAGACAGGGTTTCTCTGTGTAGCTTTGGAGACTGTCCTCACTCTGTAGACCAGGTTGGCCTTGAACTCACTGAGAACCACCTGCCTCTGCCTCCCGAGTGCTGGCGTGCAACACCAGCACCCGGCTCTCTCAAATGTTTGAAGGAGCATTTGTAGGGCATACAAATGGGACACAGCGGGGCTGGAGAGATGGCTCAGGTTAAGAGCATTGACTGCTCTTCCAGAGGTCCTGAGTTCAATTCCCAGCAACCACATGGTGGCTCACAGCCATCTATAATGAGATCTGGTGCCCTCTCCTCTTCTGGCATGCAAGTATACATGGAAGGAATGTTGTATACATAATAAATAAATAAATCTTTAAAAAAAAAAACAAATGGGACACAGCTGGCGGAGAAGCAAAGGAAACAGACAATGAACAAGGGAGAAGTCACCAGTCCGGAAACACACAGAACCGGGAATCTTTACCCTAAGAGCAAGCTCTAAGGGGCTGAGATGTAGCTCACTAGTATGTATGAGGCCTTGGGTTCTGTCCCCAGTAGTACTGTCAATAAGCTCACGAACAAAAGCAAAACTAAACAAGCTAAGGACATCCAGCTTAAGAAGTGCAACAGAACGAACTCAGTAGAAAGGAGCCAAGTCTTCAGCAGGTTTCAAAGCAAGAGTCAGGGGTGGGGTGGGGTCAGGTTCTGCTCTTGTGACCCTGTGCCATGGCCCAGTTCCTTTATAAAACAGGACCTGTCACGGACATTGAAAGATGTGAAGTGGATTATGCTGGGTTAGCTGGGTTAGCTCTAGTCCACAGTCAGGAGCTAACTGACAGGGAAACTGAAAGAAGAAAACGAAGGCCTAGGGCTGGAGAGATGGCTCAGTGGTTAAGAGCACTAACTGCTCTTGCAGAGGTCATGAGTTCAATTCCCAGCAACCACATGGTGGCTCACAACCATCTGTAATGAGATCTGGTGCCCTCTTCTGGCATGTGGGCATACATAGAGGCAGAATGTTGTATACATAATAAATAAATCTTAAAAAAAAAAAAGAGAGACATGGAAGGGCTGGCATTAACATTCTAAGCAGGGGAGACTTGTGGGCAAGCCACCTATGTCGTCAGACAGGGTCCTGTCCTCAGAAGACCTGAGTCAGCACTCTGACTTAGCCATCCTGAATTTCTAAATAATTTTATTCATGTGCGCATGTGTGTGTTCCCATGCATGCAAGTGCATCTGATTTTGTATGTGGAGACCTAATGTTATTCCTCAGGAGCTGTCGACCTTGTCAACCTTGTTTTTGGAGACAGGTTCTTTCACTGAACCTCAAACATTCAGCTAGATTGGCTGGCCAACAAAGCCCAGGGCCCTGCTGTCACCGGCTGCCCGCAGTCCTGAGAATACAAGCCATCAGTGCCTGTAGTCATACCCAACCTTTCTTGCGGATGCTTGGAGTCAAACTCAGGTCCTCACACTTGCACAAGCACTTTACCAACTGAGCCACCTCCCCAGCCTCTGGTTTTACCTTTGCACTTGTGTTTTCTAAGTACATCCAGTACACAAAGCAGTACGCCGAGGAGCAGGGGAGATATGTCAGATGGCACTCCGCAGGCTCAGGCCAGCAAGCGTGGTAGGTGGCGGGTATCACAGGTGCCTAGAAGTTGGCCTGCCCTCCTGGCATGCACTCGTATGGCTGAGCAGTCTGTGACTCTGTGGAGCTGCAAGGGAACGGGGAGGAAGGATCTGTGCCCAGGTGGAGAGTAACAAAAGAGTGAGCGGTGGCAGAAGCCCAGCAGGGCCATGGTAAGAGAAGGGGTTTCATGTAAAAGTGCCTGACGGTGTGGGGTGTGCACAAACACAGCGCTGGAGCCGAGGAATGGGCAGCACAGCCAGCGGGCGGCACAGCCGGCACAGCCGCAGGGACTTTTGATAGCAAACTGTAAAATAAAGATGTATCTGAAGATTGCATTAAAGCTCATGGTTTGATTCAAAGAACCAAAAAGGAAAGTATTTTTTGTCATTTATTTATTTATTTTAAACATGTATGGGTATTTTGCCTGAATGTTTACCTGTGAATCACTTGCTTGCTTGGTACCCAGAGAGGCCAGAGAAGGTGCCGGATCTCCTGGGACTGGAGTTATTGGCAATTTTAAACTGCCACGTGGGTCCTGGGAATTGAACTTGAGTCCTCTGGAAGAGCAGGCAGTGCTCTTAACCACTGAGCCATCTCTTCAGCCCCGGGAAAGACTTAAAAGAATTTACAACATCACAAAGCAAACATCAGACACAGAAATCAAATTAAAAGTTCACCACAGGGGGCTGGAGAGATGGCTCAGTGGTTAAGAGCACTGCCTGCTCTTCCAAAGGTCCTGAGTTCAATTCCCAGCAACCACATGGTGGCTCACAACCATCTGTAATGAGGTCTGGTGCCCTCTTCTGGCCTGCAGGCATACACACAGATAGAATACTGTATACATAATAAATAAATAAATAAATATTAAAAAAAAAAAAAAGTTCACCACATTCTGCAGAAGAGAACTGTGTCCTCAAGACGCTTCATCATTAACAGAGGCAATTTTACAATAACTTTTTCTTTGAAATTGAGGAAATCAAATTGCATAAACAAACTGGGGGCTGGAGAGATGGCCCAGCAGTTAAAACCATCTGCTACACGTGCAGAGGACCTGTTTCCATTCCCAGCACCCACATCGTGGCTCACAGCCACAGAGAACGCCAGTTCCAGGGGATCCAGTGCCCCCTCCTAATTTCTGCACAGACTTCACACACATGATGCACAGACAAACATTCGGACAAAACACTCACACACATAAAAATGAATAAATATTTATAATTGCATAAATAAATTGTTAAAACATTTACAATGAACCGGGAGTGGTAGCACACTCCTCTAATCCCAACAATCAGGAGATAGAGGCAGGAGGATCTCTGGGAGTTTAAAGCCAGCCTCGTCTATGTAATGAATGTCAGGCTAGCCAAAGTTGCATAATGAGACGATCCTGTCTCAAAAAAAAAAACAAGACTCAAAGAATCTATGTGGAGCTGGTGAGATGGCTCAGTGAGTAAAGGCACTTGCTGTCAGGCGTGGTGACTGGAGTTTAATCTTTAGGATCCACATGGTGGAAGGAAAGAACCAGCTCCCTGAAGTCGTCCCCCAACCTCCACATGTGCGCTAGAGCACCCCCACCAGTAAATATGTAAATGTTTAGAAAAATCTACTTAGGCTGGGAATATAGCTTAGTCTGTACAGTGCTCTAGCACACGCAGAGCCCTGGATTCTCTCTCCCATGCTGCATAAACAAGGAGTGCTGGCAAGTGTTTATCATCCTAGCGCTCAGGAGGTGGAGGCAGGATCAGAACAGTCGAAATGCTTGTTAAGTAGGAGGATCCGAGTATGTCTATAATCCTGGTATGGGAAGGTGGAGGCAGGAGGATCCTTGGAGCTCTTGCACTACTGACCAGCTAGAATTGCTGAATTGGTGCACTCCAGATTCAGGGGAAGATCATGTCCCAAAACACTAAGGTGAAGGGCTGGTGGGATGGCTCAGTGGGCAAAGGTGCTTGCTGCACAAACTTGGTAATCTGAATTTGACCCCTGAATCCAAGTAAAGATAGAAGAACAGACGTGTCCTCTGCTTACCACAGGCACATCATGGCATGTGTGTCAAACACACACACACACACACACACACACAGAGTTCAAAGTCATCTACAGCTACAGAGCAAATTTGAGGCCAGCCTAGAAGACCTGCAACTTTGTCTTGGGAAAAAAAACAAGTTAACCAAACAATAATAAACAGATAAAACTTGGCCCAGGGCAGCGGAGACGGAGGGGATAAACAAGCTGAAGCCACACACGGGGCCGACGAAAAAACAGTGACACAGCCCCCGGTGAGTTGGAAGTCTTCACTTTATTACTATATCACCAGAAGTCACCACCTTCACTTGGTTCACCACGGATGGATGGATGTCATAGAGGAGGATGCCACAGGGCCACTGGATCCACTCTGGAGAGGCTTAACCAGGTGGGGGAGGGTCTAGAGCAGGGCCCAAGTTGGAGGCCGCCCTTTACCGCACACACGCACGCACACACACTCACAGATATATTGTGGAGCCTTATATTATACATCTTATATATAGAAAATATATATATTTATACTATACACAGGCAGTAACGCTGTGGGAGGGGCTGGGGCACCCAGACAAGAGCTGTGGGCACCAGGGGGGCGGGAGTGTCAGGGTGGGGGTAGCACTAGGAGATGGCTAGCTCAGCTCATCCTCCATAAACTCTGGGGACTCCTGCTCACACTCAAAGGGGTTATGGATCAAGGTTAGGGGTGCCCCAGGGGTAACAAGTGGGATCTATTGGTTACATGGGAAAAGCCTGGAACCCCAAGAGTCATGAGGGGCAGACGGAGTGGAGACTGGTGCCGGTTCCCTGGGAATTAGCCCCTTGATTGCTACACTCCAGGACTGGGGGCCACCCAGGCAAGATGGCCTGTGACTGTGCAGATTATGACATCTCAGAAGGCAGAAGATGGGGCTCCCAATCTCTCACTCTGTGCTTAACCTTGGATGAGACATAAGTCTCTTGAAAGACCCCTGCAACTATAAAGTCCTGTAGAATCCATTCCCAGACCTTCTTTTGTGCTTGACAGGGAAAAGGGAGCCCCAAGTCCATAGGGCCCAGCTGTGGGGGGTGTCTCCATGGAGAGTGGGGGAGAGAAAAGCAGATGCAGTGGAGAGGGGAAGGAAACCAGGGTGCTGCTGGCCTTGGGTCCTACGAGGACTATGCTTTGTCCAAGGAGGTGTGGGCCTGTGATCCCTCCCAAATCACTAAGTCAGAAGCCTGGGTCTGACTCAAATCCTCCTAGGTTTCTTGTCCGCTGTCTGACATCGCTACCATGATGGTGGCATGCATCTGGAAAAGGAGGGGGTTGCCTGCTGAGGTCCTAGCAGCCCAGCTCCTGGTCCTGTAAACTTCCACAGCCTGAGGTCTAAGGTCGATGATAAACACCCCAGGCTGGGCAGAGTTTAACCAGCACTCTGCCCTCTGCTTGACATCACCAGTGGCCTGTTGCTGCCTAGGGAGACACCGATGGGCCATCCTCAGATCTCTAGCATTCACCAGCATGAGTTGCAAAAGCCAGGACTTCTCATAGCCTCTTGGTGGCACAGAAACATTCTGTGGCCATTGTCTCCCCTCTGGTCTGAAACCAGTTAAGTCACCCAAGCTGTCCCTGCTTGACCCACCTGGTTGGGGCATGGGGCTGTACACGGAGCCCCTTCCCAGGTGTGGAAAATGGAAGTTAGCAACAGCCAGCTGTCACTCAGCTGCCTGGGGTCCTCTCCCAACACCGGAGCCCCCTACGGAACTTGGAGACCCCATTAGGATCCAATCTCCAATGCTAACTCTCTATACTCACAGAGACTCAATTTCCCCTTCTGCTCAGGAGGGGGCAGTGGTGCTCCTTCTGTGCCTCTGAAGCGTGTGGCCCCTCCCTTGCTGTCTTCCTGAGGCCTGCACTCATGCCAGGTCTCCTACGGTAACGGCCCTATACCTCTATGTAGGAGTTCATAGGCTCTTAGCGGACAGGCGCCACAGACATCCTTGGTGACACCTCACCAACATGGGTACCAGAAGAGAAAACATGCCTGTCAGAGTCCTGTAGGGCACGGGGTGAGATGCTGAGGACACCCTTGCTGAAATTGACCCGCAGCCCATTGCCCTGCTTCACAAAGAACCAGCTGGTGTATGCCAGGTACACAGGACGATGGCATAGACAACCCTCCCTCTGGGCTCCCTCTGTCACACAGAGGGAAGCACCTCCTGTGAGAATGTGGCCTTGCTGTCTCTATAGGCCCCACCCACTCTCCCATCTCTAGTCTCTGAGATAACCTGCTATTTTCTTTCCTGTGGCCCGAGATCTCCCTGAGTCTATTCTCTCGTGTCTCACTTACAAGTCATCTGGGGCAGTGGGACCTGAGCTATGGCACTCAAACTGAACCTGTCATTGAAAGCTCCTGTCCTGAACCCTGGCTGACCCAGACAAGCAGAGAGAGGACAGTGTCCCAGGTGGTGACCAGGGTGGAGTCACCTGCTGGATGGGTGGAGTCAAGGCCAGCTCTACCACTAGCACAGGGACCTCCGGGCAGGTCTCCACTCCCCGCAGCCTCCTGTCTACCCAGTCATGTGCACAGCAAGCCCAAGAGGCAGAGATGGCCACCACTCCTTTGGGAGACTGCAAAGGAGGTTGCTGGCAGACCCCAAAGAAGTTCCCTGTGGGGCATGTTGAGCATGGAGCAACACAAGGGGACAGAGGCGGGTTTGGGGAGCCCTCTAGAAGGCCAGGACTGAGGAGAGAACCTGAATGGGGGAAAGTAACTGAGGCAGAAGAGGCCCTTGGTTTGCAGCAGATCGTGTGTCTTGCTGGACTCAGGTCCTGAAGCATCCCCCCACCCCCCGAATTAGAGTAACACTGAGAGGCAAAGCCTAGGTGCAGGAATAGAAAGAAAGGCTGGCAGGAGCTCCGCATCTAGCCTACCTTGAGGTGGCCTGTTCTCAGCTCCTTGAATGACCTTGGACAAAGTATTCTGACCTCTCAGACCTTGGTTCCCTCGACTATAAAATGCAGATGTCCCTGGCAATTCCAGGAGGACCGACTGTTCCATACCAAGGACTCTGGGGATGATGGTCCCCATCCTGTGATTGACCACACTCACCTTGTGACTGAGCCCCTGTAGCCAAACTTGCCCATATCTGTCTGTCCTGCCTTTCCTGCACCCAGATCAGGGCTTCCTCAGCCCACTGTCCCCCATCCCTCACTCCCCAGCTGAGTAAGGCCTGGCATACAGTAGGTGCTCAGCAAATGCTCAAGGACACAATGAATGACTGTAACCCCTGGGCCCCACCCTCTAGACCCCTGCTGGGCACACACTTGCACACACATGTAGACACACCCCACCTGGCTCCCCCCCACCGACCCACCCCAGCTGCACTGGGCCTCAGTGGAATCACCTGGAGGCTTAACAGGTGCTAGGCAGGGTCACCTGGGAGGGAGCAGGATGTTTGAAAGGGGAGCTAGGATGAAAGGGCAGGGGCAGGGTAGGCGGTCACTGTCACCACCATCATGGGGGCTCAGTAGCCCTGTGACTGGTAACCCTGGGGCTCAGCATCGAAGGCGTTGGCTGGATGCTGGTAGGTGCCACCCATGCCAGCAGGGTCCGGCCCAGCGCTGGGCTCCACGTAGGGTGCATAAGGCATGCTGGAGTCCTGGCTGGGATCCATGTAGTCCTGGGAGAAGAGGGCCGAGTCGGCGCCAATCTGGTACCGCTGGAAGGCCAGCACAGCCTGGCCCGCCTGGGATGGGGGCAGGCAGGGACGAGGACAGGTAGGAGGGATGGTTAGGAGAGAGACAGACAAGAGTATTGGGTTAGTAGAGGTTAGTTGACAGGATACAGATGGTTACAGATGTTCAAACCACCAAGCTTGACTAAGGGGAAGGACTGTTCACACAGCCACCCCTTCCGAGACCCAGGACCACATCATCCAGCCATAAAGAACCTCAGAAGCCACTTGCCCCGAGTATCCCAAGCCAAGACGACTCAGCCTCGGAGGGTTAAGATGACCCAAAGGCCCACAGCCTGCTCCCAAACTGTGTTCTCAGGGGTGTTATGTGAAATGGGAGAAAAAGCCTCCTAAAACAGATGCCTAAAAGCCATCTTTTTGCTTCTCTTGCAGCTAGGCACAGTCATGTGGTTAACTTCCAACCAATGAGGCACAGCCATATCCCATGACCCACTGTCAGGTCTAATGCCGGGGAAAATAGATGTGATAGCTGGCGCTCCAATAGCTAAAACACACTAAGATGGACGATGGGTAAGAGCTAAGGTTGTGTCTAATCACTGAAGGCATTCAGAGCCACTATGCAAGCCCCACACTATTTCTCCAGAGTTGAAATTTGTTTAAATTATTATTATTATTATTTGGAATTGAAATCATTTGCCACTAAAGCTAATTCCAGCTGAAACACACAGCAAGACAAGTGTGAGAAAAGAACAAAGCAGTAAAACACGTCTCAGAACCACAGGACTCATCAGAACCTTGACTGTCTGATACATGCTGGGCCCTGTTTGTCTCAGCACAAAGATTGCCTGCAGCTGCACAGAGGGAAGACAGGATGCTGACCACAGGAACCACATCAAATTGGCTCTGCAATTCACAGAGAAAGCCTTCCCTAGACCTTTCCGGCCCACAGTCCTGGGTCATGACTGGGAAGATGAAGGCAGAGAGGAGGAATGCCGAGACTCAGCCCCAAAGCCAGAGGCCCTGGCCTGTGTGGGACTGAGGAGTTGTCAGGGCTCTCTGGGGCAGTGGTGAGAGGGCAGGAAACAAAAGAGAAGTATGGAGGCCAGGCTCTCCCTGTACTCCCTGGCTTCGTGATGCCTGTGGAGGCAGGAAGCTGGAGCGATGACTTCCACAAATCCTTTCGAGAGAGAGGCCGCCAGCTAGAGCACTGGTTCTCAACCTTTGGGGGTCGCATGTCAGTTCTTTAAATTACAATTATAACAGCAGCAAAATCAGTCATAAAGTATCAATGAAATAGTTCTGCATAAGGAACTGTATTAAAGGGTGGCAGCATTAGGAAGGCTGAGAACCACTGCTCTAGAGACACTGGAGACAGTGTCCGTGGCCAGTCCCCTGCCACCCAGTGCAAAGGGAGAAGGTCCTGCCCCAGCAATCATAAGAGAGAGACTGAGGGACTCTATTCAGCACTCTGGGACCTGCACTCCACGTGATATCTCACTGGGCAGCAGGCTGTCTGTACTTGCATGCCGCCAATGCCTGCTGGCTCACTCTCTGCATTCAGCGACAGCAAGGCAGAAGAAGCAACGCTCTGGAGTCCGCTTGCACCTACTGCATCCTCACAGCCTGCAGAGAGTACAAGCCCTGGGTGGGTGCTGTCCAGATTCTGGGGACCCAGAGGAGGCAGTGAGGAGGATCTAGAGGCCAAAGTCTTTCGACAGAACAAGTATTCACTAGAAGACCCACTCCCCGCTGGGCGGTGGTGGCGCAAGCCTTTAAACCCAGCACTCGCGAGGCAAAGGCAGGCGGATCTCTGTGAGTTCGAGGCCAGCCTGGTCTACAGAGCTAGTTCCAGGACAGGCTCCAAAGCCACAGAGAAACCCTGTCTCGAAAAACCAAAAAAAAAAAAAAAAAAAAAAAAAGACCCAATCCCCGAGGAGAGTTTATGGGGATGCACCTGACTCAAGGAATGAATGAATGAATGGGTGAACAAATGAATGAAAGACAGAACTGACATTTATTGAGCATCCCTGTGCCAAGGCCTGCAGGCCTTTGTTCAACCTGCTCAGCTGCCTGAAGAAGTTCATCCATTATCAGTCAGGCTAGGAAAATTGACCAAGATTCAGAGAGGTGCAAGAATTTGCTCTTGGTCACACAGCACAGGAAAGCTGAGCTGGGCCAAAGGTCCTCCAACATTCCAGGCCAGCCCTCTGCAGGAAGTCACTCCAGGGGGACAGTAAGCTGGCCTTTCACACCACAATCACGGACAGGTTATCACACTGTCCAGGCTCAGCCCCTTCCAGGAAGGCACTTCAGACCCTCTAAGGGGCCACCCCACTTTGTGGAAGGTCGGCTACCTTTCCCTCCCAGCCTACAGGCTCCTGGGACCAGGGACCAGTCTAATCCACACAGGCACCAAACAGTTGCTCAATAAATGTTTACTGAAGGAGTGAACGTAAAGAATAAACCGAGGAAGCGATGCAGCATGAGTGAGCCAGCGCTGAGTCTTAGCTGACTACTCCAGCTAGCCTGTCCTTCCTGCTCTAGCGGTCAGCCGTCTCCTGCACTTGAGCCCTGCTGGGGCCTGGACTCCCTGCCCTTCAGGGGCTACGGCTGAGCTGAGGCAGGGAACAGTGTGTTGTAGTCCTCCTGGAAGGTAAGTTCCTTGAGTCTGCGGACGGCCAGGGCTGCTGTCAGGCTCTGCCGGAGAGAGCAGGGGTGAGGCTGCTGAGGAGGTGGAAGGGCAGAGCTGACTCAGGAAGGCCAGCTGTGGTCAGCAGCACCAGTCCCTCAGGTCCGGTCAGCTCTGCCCATCTCAGCCAGAGGCCCACTCTCCTCCAGATACCTTCTTCCCAAATGAGATCCCCTGGGGTCACCTTGACGGTCCTGCCCAGTCCTGAAGGCATCAAGAGCTATGGTTACTCATGGCTGGTCTCCAGGAACCACAAAATTCTAGCTCCCAAAACTGGGGGCTGAGGATGCCCCAGAAAATGGGTGTTGGGGTCTTTTTAAAATATATATATATATGGCCAGGGCTGGAGAGATGGCCCAGAGGTTAAGAGCACTAAATGCTCTTCCAGAGATCCTGAGTTCAATTCCCAGCAAGCACATGGTGGCTCACAGCCATCTGTAATGAGATCTGGTGCCCTCTTCTGGCATGCAAGCATACACGGAAGGAATGTTGTATACATAATAAATAAATAAATCTTAAAAAAAATAGACATGACCTAGACCCACACAAAGAGGGGCTAGCCTTACTATGCCACGGAGTCCTCGAGACCTTGGGCTAGCCCTGCAAAGAACAGACCGCAGCAAACCCAAGACCCTAGATATGACCCCCCATCTGCAAGATTGGAAACAGGGTTCTCTGTGTAAGAGTCCTGTAGCTCTGTAAATCAGGTTGGCCTTAAACTCACAGAGATCCACCCGCTTCTGCCTCCTAAATGCCGGGATTAAAGGCGTGCGCCACCATTGCCCAGCTTATTTTTTGTCTTTTTTAAGGAATATTATTTTTAGGCTGGGTGTGGTGAAACAAATTCTGGGACAGCCAGGGCTACAGAGAGAAACCCTGTCTTGAAAAGCCAAAAATAGACGAACAAACACACTGATAAGTGACTGAGCCTCAGTTTCCCTGTTTGGAAAGCGGTGTCAATAGGAACCTTCTGAAGTGGGGAGCCCCCATGATCGAAGACCCTCGTGAACGAAGACTCAACATGAGCAAAGAAAACAAGGGAAGCAGCAAAGGCGCTGCCTGTGTGCAGAGGCCAGGCAGGAGGACCTTGAGTTCAGGCCCAGTCTGGGCTGCACTGTGAAGTTCACGTCACAACCCTAGGAAAGCTGCTCCACAAAAGGCAAGGGTTTGCCTTGCTCAGGGAGGCTGTGGGTGGTGCTGGAGTGAGGTTCCCGCCAGGAGACAGAGCTCAGCCTATCTATTCAACAGGCCACAGCTTGGGGTGTGGCTGGGGCTAGTGGGGAGTCTACAGGCGCCATACTCACCCAAGTGAAAATGGAGAAGAAAGAGAAGGCGATGGCGGCCCGGGCGGCATCTGTCCCTTCGTTCAGAGGGTTGTCCTGGACCTTGGAGACTTGCCACTGGTTGGCCAGGAAGCAGAAACCCACGAACCAGAAGAAGGCCCAGAAGGCTGGAGTGTCCAGGGTCAGGCCACATGTCAGTGACACACACAGAGAAGGGGGAGAAAACAGGGTACCAAGAAACAAGGACACAGGTCAAGAGCATGCTCCCATGCTCCCCGACCCCCAAATGATGAGCGAGGAGGTGGAACAGAGAGAAGGAGCGGACTGGGAATGATGGAGTTGGGGTTGGGGGGCCACAGAGAGGGCAGGTCAAAAGCAAGCAGATGCACAGGGCAAACCATGGAGCGAGAGGACAATGGGGAGGGGGTGGGCAGCCAGGTCAGGGGCCTCTCTTAGCGCCTGCCACATCCCTGGCCTGGTCTGGACGACCAGCTGCCAATGCAAGGAGCTGGATGCAGCAGCCCTGCTCAGACTTCTGGAGAACTGGGGAGAGGGACCACTGGGACAAGGACAATAGTAACTGCACAGCCTACAGCCTGGGCCTCCACTTCCCACGTGTGCAGCTTCCAGAAGCCTCCCAAGTGGAGCCCCCTGAAGCTGAGGTGTGTGGGCTGGGTAGAAGATCAAGATCCTCTGTGGGTACCAGGGTCTCCCCAGAACTGTCCAGGACAGAGCCTGGGCATGTGCCAGCCTATCCCTGAAAGGAGCTTCTGGGAACTCCATGGAAACAAGGGAACAGTCACTTAGTCCTAGGTCTTTCTGGAAGGTCAAAGGGTCCCCAGTTCCTTAGGAAGCAGGGCCCACAGTCTCCTGATCCTGCCCAAAGTGCCTACCAGACTGACTCTGGGATTCCCATGGGTGGGAGACTGGCAAAGGGAGGTAGTTCTGCTGAGACCAGGGGAAGGGGGGATCGAGGATCTTCAGGGAAGGGAGCCGAAGGGCACTGAGACCAGAGCTGACTTGAGCCCCTCCCCTCGTCAGCCGCAGCCCCTCGTCTGGGGCTTGACTACCCACACTTCACGGGAGGTTATTAAGGGGTACCACCCGAGCAGGCTCACCCGAGACACCGATGTCGGACAGCACAGCCTTCTTGCGATCCTTGACACTGCTGATCTGTGGGAAGTACACGTCCAGAGCCAGGTAGAGCAGGCAGGTGAGGAACGCCAGCACGCCCACGGTCACGCCGTAGCTGCAGGCATTGGGGTTCCGGTTGTAGATGCAGAACTCCTCCTCCTCCTCTGAGCTGTTGAGGTAGCCCTCATTCACGATGGAGCCAAAGACCACAATGGAGAAAACCTGCAGGGCGGAGCAAGTGTGAGCACAGCCAGGCTCCCCCACCCTGTCAACTGTAGCCTGATCCCCTGCGAACACGAACAAGAGACAGGTAGGTATTTAAGCAGGGACCCCAGAGAAGGAGGGCGAGTTGCTTGAGGTCACACAGCAAGGCAGCATCCATCACTTTCTAACACTGCTACAGAGCTTAAGGGCCTCTGACTGTTCATGCAGTTCTTCCTACCTCCTGCCACCAAGGGTCCCCAAGGCTCCCTGCCAATCCCCCATTCTCCAGATCAATTTCTACAGTTCCTAGCATCGTGTCCCAGTATCGTGTCCCTCTCTGAACAGCCTAGGTAGGGCTGCTCTAGTCTGGTGTCTCGGGCCACGAGTCTTGGTCCTACCCCGGTGAATGAAGTGAGAAGTCAAAAGCTCATAGCGGTAGCCATCCTGCCAGAGGCGTCCCACAAGCCACCTCACTCACGGTCTTAACAAACCCGGATCACTTCAGCTGGACTGGCAGCTAGCTCAGGCCACAGTGGCTCTGCCTCCTGCAGGCCACACCCCATGGTGACTAGACCTGATAGATAAAATGTGGTTACAAGGTGTCTCGGAGCTGGGCATGCAGCGGTGGCGCACACCTTTAATTCCAGCACTTGGGAGGCAGAGACAGGTAAGACAGGTAGGTCTCTGAGTTCAAAGTCAGCCTGGTCTACAAAGCTACACAGAGAAACCCTGTCTTGAACTCCCCCTCCAAAACAAACAAATAAATAAATAAAAGAATCTGGGCTCATAAGGCCCCACCCCGCTGAGAAGCTACAGGTGGTTGCTAGGGGAGGGGCAGCCATCTTCCTCATGGTGAACTGCCGTTGCCAGGTGAATAAGGCCCTGCTGTGCTCATGCCAGCAACCTTAATGCAAAGACACAGGGCTGGAGAGCGTCCCAGCGGGTAAGTACCGTTTCCAGTACCGTTTCCAGTACCCATTTCCGGTGGCTCATAACCATCTGTAATTCCAGGGGATCTGGTGCCCTCTACAGGCCTCATACATAGACACAAATAAACATACATAGACATAAATAAAACAGGACATGACTGTAAGAGCTTGTTGGGTAGAGGGGTTTGGCAGGAGGGAGAAGGAAGAATGACTGGGGGGGAAATGATCAAAGTACATTACATAAGTTTGAAGTTACAAAAGGATAATTTAAGCGATGAGATTTTGCCTCTGGCTCCCACTCTCTGGCCTCCTGTCCCTGCCTGCTCTACTGGAAGGCAGCTGCTGTGACAAGGGGCGGAGGAAAGTCTCTAGCTGATAGCCTGAAGGGAGCTGAAGCCCTCTCCATCAGCAGCCCATGGAGTGTGGGTGGGCTGAAACCCAGAGCACATGCTTGTGAACTTGAAACTGACTTGTCCACAGGAGAGCCAATGAGACCACAGCCCTGGCTGACATCGTGGCTTTAGCCATGAGAGACCTGGAGGCAATAGCTCCCACCTTAGCAGATTCCTGACCCACAGAAACTGAGGTAAACTGTGACTGCTGTTTTAGGCAATACGTTTGGGGGCAATGTATTATGTAGCAATGGCTAATCGACATATCAGTATCATCAGCAAATGCAGACAACTGCATGCGTGTATGTGGAGGCTAGAAGTCAATGTCTAGGGGCTTCCTCGGCTACTCTCCACCTTACTTTTAGAAACAAGATCTCGAGCATGGCGGTGGTGGTGCACACCTTTAACCCCAGCACTCGGGAGGCAGAGGCAGGTGGATCTCTGTGAGTTTGAGGCCAGTCTGGTCTACAAAAGCTAGTTCCAAGATAGGCTCAAAGCTACAGAGAAACCCTGGTTCAAAAAAAAAAAAAAGAAAGAAAGAAAGAAAGAAAGATAGATCTCACTAAACTTGGAGCTCACTGATTCAGCCAGACCGTCTGGCCAGTAAGCCCCAGAGATCTTGCCATCTCTGCCCATCCAGCATTGCTATTACAGGCTCAGGCCACTGTACCCAGCTTTTAGATGACTATGAAGGCCTGAACTTGGGTCCTCGTGTCTACATAGCAAGAACTTACCAAGAGAGTCATCTCCTCAGCCCCTACTTTCCGTTTATTTAAAAATGTATTTTACGCACATGGATGTTTGGTCTGTACACATGTGCAGTGCTCATGGATGCCACAAGAGGGCGTTCAATTCCCCTGGGACTGGATTCCCAGATGGTTGTGAGCCTCCACGTGGGTACAAAAAATATCCTTCCGTTATCAGCCACATGCTCTCTGCCACAGTAGACACACCCAGGAGGGGTAGTAAGGCAGAGACGTTGTGGAATAGGGGAAGAGCCAAGAATCGTCCAGTGTTTTCTTGCATGTCTACCACCAGACAACAGTGGTCCCATTCATCTGCTGCCTCATGACACCCTCCAGGCCTCAGCACACTGAGATGTTTGATCTTTTCATTATATGAATCTCCATTAAGTGGATAATTGGTGATGGGATATTAGATTGGTATTTGTGAGTTATTGTTTTTAGAAAATTATATTGGTATCGATTCTTGTATGTTGATACAAAGTTAAATTATATTAACTATTGTATGCAAGTATGCTTCAGCCTCTGTTTAAAACATTTGTTATGTATTGAGATATATATATATATATATATATTTACCATATTGCGGTGTACATTTCTGCCTCTGATTAAGATACTTATATATTGTTATGTAATGATATACATTGTTTACATTTGGAGGTCATTGTCCTCATTTATTGCACAGTTTTTATTCTCTTAGTCTTCAAGTTAGATAGGTATCGAGAATTATAGATCAATAGTCATCTATGTTTGTCATATTTATATATAGGCTAATCAGGTTCTTTAGATACATAGAGATTATATTTAGTATAGATAGTATAATCTTCAACCTCTTCAAAGAGCTGTAGAAAAAGGCCTTTAGTCTAACCTAGAGTTCCGTGGTAGTGAGACACAATTACTCCTAGCAACACCGCTCTACTCCCGAGAGAATGTTGAGCACCAAAGACACTCCACTGGGAGCTTGTCTTTTTGGAAGAACTGACCTTTGAGCAAAGAAAAGCCCATACCTCGACCACTGACAGAGATACAGAGTATCTGTAAATGTATAAAACAGGATTGTCTTATCTTGCCAAGACAGGGTAGGATAGTTCTAAAGCCTTAGCCAAAGTTGGTTGCCTCAACATTGCAAATGAGACTTTGGGTGATTGCCCAGGTAGTTATCTCTATCGTTTGTTGCACATTTTGGAAGTTTCTCGTTTCTACTTCCTGGTTGCTCAAGTTATATTACTTCCCTTCTCAGATCTTTGATAGAGTTGAAGATTAGATAATTATAGTTACCCTCCTCATGATTTAGCTAAACTTAATTTCAATATATTATTTAGACTCCTTGAAATAGAATGCTTAGTAAAACTTTTGTTATATGTTTCTTGATTAATATTGTTTGTTGCTTGTAATTTTATATTCGGTATCTGTTCCTATTGTATATAGTTGTATTGGGTTTGGTTCGATCTTGTTTAGACAAAAGGGGGAGATGATGGGGAAGCTCAGCCAATCACATTTCGCTAGGGTGTGGCGCCTGGGGCCAGGGAAGAAAGACCTGGGAATCCAGGTGCACTCTCTCTTCTCTCTTCGCTCGTGGGAGTTTCCCCGTTTTCCAATTATTAAACTAGGTCTGTTATATTGAGCTTGTCTGGTTAATTCTAGCTTACCGGTCGATTACGCCCATCAGTCCTTCATATCCCCAGATGCCACCAAACACACAGAATGGAAAAGTCTCTTGATTAGAGAGATTTCAGACCCTGGGGTCAGACAGGCCTGCTCCATTCAAATCTGGAGCTGCTTGCTAGGTGCAGCCCCATACAATGGGCTTCTAGAAAATTATCATCTAGTGAGCCGGCTCAGTGGATAAAATCACTTGTAGCACAAGCTTGGTGAGCTGAGTTCGATTCCTGGGACCCACACAAAAGTGGAAGGAGAGAAATAACTCGGCAAAGTTGTCTTTTGTCTTCCGCGGGTGGGTGCACAGAGTCACACTCACGCATATACATGTATACAGGGGATGTAGTTCACTGGTTCCGCGGGTGCACATAGTCACACTCAGGCACACACATATATACACAGGGGATGTAGTTCATTGCTAGGTCAGGCACTTACCATCCTGGCACTTAAAAAAACACAACACCAACCTCTCCTCTCGGGGAGGTTTGCACACCAGTACCCAGAGCAGGGCATGCCTCTCAGGATTAAGAAAGAGGCCCTTTCAGGTTGCTTCCTTTCCCTGGAGGCTTTGGGCAAAATGGAACACCAGAGGCCTCTCTTGAGCAATATTGCCTGTTCCTGTGGCAGGAAAACACACTGCTGCAGCAGGGGCTGAGAACAAGAGTGAGCCCCACTTGTCAAAAGCAAGGAAAACGGGCTCCCCAAAGGCTGGGAGGGGGAGCAGGCAAACGGAAATCTGGGCCTTGGGGAAGGCTGAAGAGGAACCATTAAGACTGGGTCTCTAAGGGGAATCAAGAAGGGAGTCCTTGGAGAGGCCAGGAAAAAGGTGTCGGAGACATGTGTCCCCAGGAGGGTGAGGAGCAAGACCAAAACACCCTCAAAAACAGGAACGGGGCGGCCTGTGACCCCACAACAGCAGCAGGCGCCAGCTCTGGTCAGGTACTCACCACAAATTGTAAGCTTCCTGGTGCCTGAAACTTTGCAGAAAGGGACACTGAGGACAACAGGACCTTCCTGTGAGGAGTGACCCTTGGGGTACAATCAGAGAATCCCTGCCTGGCCTTGGGTCTAGGGAAAAACAACAGCTGAGGACTCCCAATATACTCTGAGGAATGGATGCTTAGGGTGACAGCAGGTCCTGAAAAGGTCAAGAGGATGCATCAGTGGTCAGGGCAGAGCTCTGCAGCTGGGCCCTTTGAGATGACTGAGAAAGAGCCAGCCCTGCATGGATGGCACACATAATTCAGGCAGGGGAATGGAAGCAGAGGCTGGAGGTGGACTGAGGATATGGTGGG